CAGAGTTTGCCATCAGAATAATTCACCCTGATTTTGCTTTGTCCATAAGGAATCGGGCTTGTAGATAACACACAGATGTACCCATTGCACAAGCACAGTCCTCACATGTGGGGTGGTTTTCTTCTGGGTTCACAGAGGAGGCTGATGCAGCACCAACAACCTCCATGGCACCAGCAACTCAAATACTGGAGGCAGCATACGTGGAAGTGGTGACATCCATGGAAACCACAGCACCCCCAGAAACTACACCATCCCCAGAAACGACGAGACCTCCAGCAGGGATGACAATCTCAACATCAACAGCCCTTCCAGAGGTGATGACATCCCCAGAGGAGCCGACCACCTTGGTGCCACTGACCAGCAGCGCAGAGCTGTCCTTCCTAGAGATGGCCACCACAGAGCCAATATCAACCCTAGAGACAGCAACCACCAAACTACTGATGACCTCCCCAGAAGAGATGTCCCCTTCACCAGAGATGACCACCACAGTGCCACTGACAACCCCAGAGACAACAACTACCGAACTACTGATGACCTCCCCAGAAGAGATGCCCCCTTCACCAGAGATGACCACCACAGTGCCACTGACAACCCCAGAGACAACAACTACCGAACTACTGATGACCTCCCCAGAAGAGATGTCCCCTTCACCAGAGATGACCACCACAGTGCCAATGACAACCCCAGAGACAACAACCACTGAACTACTGATGACCTCTCCAGAAGAGATGTCCCCTTCACCAGAGATGACCACCACAGTGACACTGAGCTCCTCACCATCGATGTTCACCCAACTTGATACAACCACCACAGCAACAATGGCCACCAGAGCAGAGGAGAGCACAGCAGGTAACCCTGTTCACTGTCATTCACTGTTCTCTTTGCTGTGCCTGAACTTCCTTCGCTGGCCTGATTGTACTGCAGGAAGATTCCCAGAATGGCAGGACAGAGCTCCTGTCTCTCCTCCTTAGTCCTCTCTTAGTGTTCCAGCTCTGCTTGTCATGTCCTGTGTCATGTCCATTGTCACTGAACTAATGACCTCCCTAACAGAGACATCCAGTGCACCAAAGACAAGCACCGTGCTCCTACCACCCTCGACAGCAGAGCTGTCCACCTCAGCAGAGGTGATCCCCACATTGAGAATAACTACCACAGCAGAGGAGAGCACACCAGGTAACCTTGTCCACTCTCACTCACTGGTCTCCTTAGTGACCCTCATCTCTTTTCCAAGAGTGACATCATTCTAAGTATGTTCTGGATCTGTCCTCTGGGATCAGCCCTGCTGACCTGCTTTGGGAGAGCCAGGGCACAGAGGCGAGGTTGGGGTCTTCTGCTTCCTGGAGCTGGTAGCCCATGTCTTGCAAAAGCCCAATTTTCACACAGCCAGGGCTCAGCAGGCTCTCCACACTTCCTGATGGGGTGACAAACAGCAGCATTGTGGGATCATTCTCTTTGGGAGGGCAGGGCAGGACTGGAGTTATGTCCGGTTGGTGTCTGGATGGGAGAGCAGCAGGACAGAGCTCCACACTCCCTTATGGCATTAGTCCTCCAGCTCTGCCTGCCATGTCCTTTGCTGTGTCCATTGCTATTGAATTAATGACCTCCCTAACAGGGGCATCCCCCCCACTGGACATGACCACCACAGAGCCATCCACAGCCACACCAGACGCGTCCAGCCCAGCAGAGGTGACCACCCCAGTGACAACATCTGCCAGAGCAGAGGAGAGCACACCAGGTAACCCTGCCCATGAGCACCCACTGGTCTCCTTGGTGCCCCTGATCTTCCTTCCACTCCTGATTGCATTGCAGGGAATCTCCCAGACATGGGCCACCCCAGTTAGCCCTTTCCTGGCACCCCAGACCACAGGGATAATGCAAGCAGAGCATGGAGAAGAAATGGGAAATGGGCTGTTGAGGCTTGAGTCCAGGAATTCTGCAGCCACTGATTGTGAGGGAAACTGTTCAAAAAGAGATTTCCTCTCACTGCAAGCAAGGACACAACTACTGGGGAATCATTCTGCCTTCTCTTCTTTGGTTCCTGCATCAGTAGTATCAGAGCCATTTTCTAAGCGTGCTCTGGGAGTGGGGATTTGATTGGAGAAATGAAAGATGCTGACTCAAATGTTCTGAAATAGAGATCTCCATGGACATGGACTTTCTTCCCAGGGAACAAAGAGCTGAGTGGAACAACCAAGTCACAATGGTCATTTCAGTTGAATGAAAGACCTCTACAGGATATGATAGGAGTCATAGGACAGGGTCTCCTTGGAGAGGGACTGTCTTGGGGCGCACGTCATGTGCTGATTCTACTTGGAGCCTTTTTCATTGACACCAAATTCTTAGTTGTGCCTGTACCTCTGTCCCTCACCAAAGACAACATATTATTCTGGGAATTTCTGCGCACCAGACCCATCCCTGCCCAGCCTTGCAGTGAACCTGTGGCTGCCCTGCTGTAAGAGCATATCTGGGGACAGGAGGGTGCTGGGCTGGTGGGACTTTGACGCTGTGCCTTGTTCCCCGTGCCAGGTGCCAGCCTGCGCCTGTCGGGCGGCAGGAACGGCTGCGAGGGCCGCGTGGAGCTGTACGACGGCAGCACGTGGGGCACGGTGTGTGATGACCAGTGGGACCTGCGGGATGCCCAGGTGGTGTGTCGGCAGCTGGGCTGTGGGGAGGCCCTGGGGGCCCCACACGCTGCCCACTTCGGCCTGGGCTCGGGGCGCATCTTCCTGGACGACGTGCAGTGCCGCGGGGACGAGCCCTCCCTGCAGATGTGCAGGCACAACGGCTGGGGAGTGCACAACTGTGGGCACGTGGAGGATGCCAGTGTCGTCTGTGCAGGTGGGTGGCTGGCAGAGACCACGGGATTTTTTGCACATCATTCTGAGTGAGTTCTGAATCTGTCCTTTAGGATCAGCCCTGCTGAGCTGCCTAGGGAGAGCCAGGGCAGAGAGGCGAGGTGGGGGTCTTCTGCTTCCTGGGGCTGGAGCCCATGTCATGCAAAAGCCCTGTTGTTTCCCACAGAGGGCACAGCAGGCTCTGCACACCTCCTGGTGTAGGTGCTCAGTGTGGGAGCAAGGCGCAGGATGGTGGGATTGTTTTTTGGAGGACAGGGCAGGACTGGAGACATGTCAGGCTGGTGTATGGGTGGGGGAAAGACAGGATCCACTCCCCATTTCCCCTTTAGTTCTCCAGCCTGGCTTTTTATGTCCATGTCCATGACTATGACTGTGTCCCTGTCTTTGTCCATATCCCTGTCGATCCATTCCCCCAATCTCCCTGCCTGTTCATTCACTGCCTCTACTTTCTTGCAGCTTCCCATCCAACCCCTCCTGCACAATGGCCATTCACAACAGGTAATTCCTGATCACCCAGCTAAGGTTCAGCTTTGTAGTGGGCCCCAGTCTGGCATAACAGGAGGTTAGGGGCTTCCTCCTTGGCTGATCCTGCTCAGTGCATGACTGCTGGTCCTTTCTGCCCTTCGCATCTACAGGAGGCATGAGTTTTCCCCCTCAGGGAATGGGTCAATCTCAAGGATTCCATAGGGCTTTTCTGCAAATGACCCAGTGCCTTGATCAACTCTGCCCTCAGGCAGTTCCCTCAGACCCCCAGCAGGAGATCCCTGGACAGGACAAATCTGCCATCTACACACCCGGGGTCTTTGCTCCATCCCTGACCTCCCCTGGTCTGTTTGGGACTGAACCACCCCTGGTTTAGGTCACTGGGGCGCAATGTCCAAGGCAGCTGGGGAGGTGTGGGCTGTGGATGCTGGGTGGAGTGCCCCTGCCCCTCATCCTTGTTCCCCGTGCCAGGTGCCAGCCTGCGCCTGTCGGGCGGCAGGAACGGCTGCGAGGGCCGCGTGGAGCTGTACGACAGCAGCACGTGGGGCACGGTGTGTGATGACCAGTGGGACCTGCAGGATGCCCAGGTGGTGTGTCGGCAGCTGGGCTGTGGGGAGGCCCTTGGAGCCCCACAAACTGCCCACTTTGGCCTGGGCTCGGGGCGCATCTTCCTGGACGACGTGCAGTGCCGTGGGGACGAGCCCTCCCTGCAGATGTGCAGGCACAACGGCTGGGGAGTGCACAACTGTGGGCACGTGGAGGATGCCAGTGTCGTCTGTGCAGGTGGGTGGGTGG